ACAGAGACTGGAGAAACCCCGAGAGTATGGCCCCCCCCAGACACCCTTTTAACTCAGTACTGAAGTCGCTCCTGAGGTTCACCCTTCAGTCAAAGATTAGACAGACCCATAAAACAAAATGAGACTAAGTGGGCACACTAGCCCAGGGGCAAGGATGAGAAGGCAGGAGGGGACAGGAAAGCTGGTAATGGGGAACCCAGAGTTGAGAAGGGGAGAGTGTTGACAAGTCGTGGGGTTGGCAACCAGTATCACAAAATAATATGTGTATTGTTTAATGAGAAACTAATTTGCTCTGTAAACCTTCATCTAAAGCACAATTAAAAAAAAAAAATCACCCATATGAGACCAAGAACTGTTGCCATTGAGTCAGTTCTGACTCATAGTGACCCTCTAAGACAGAGTAGAACTGCCCCATAGTGTTTCCAAGGAGCGGCTGGTGGATTTGAACTGCCAACCTTTTTGGTTAGCAGCTGAACTCTTAACCACTATACTACCACGGCTGGATACCAAACAGTCAGCAATTACTTTAAAACAAAGATGAGAATGTAAGGGGGTAGGGAGACTAGATTAATGTAAATGGAACAACCAGAATGTAAATAATGAGAATGTTCGCAGATTGTGAACATTGTAACCAATGACACTGAACAACTTTGTGTAGAAATTGTTGTGCGGGAACCTAAACTGTTGTGTAAACTTCACCAAAAACACAATAAAATATTATTTAAAAAAAAAAAATCCTCCTCCATGTTTTGATCAGAGGCCCAGGAAGGAAGGGCCATACCCTCAATCAGGTTGCAGCCCCAGCTCTAGGAGTCCAGAGGTGCAAGAAGGCACTTGCTGGCCTGAGCCCAAGCCTTCTCTTGAAGGTGGGGCATCCCGCCCCACCCCAAAAGCCTCTCTCTCCCTTATTCCTGCCTGTCCTTGGATTCTTTCCTCCTCCTGGTGATTCATTGTTGGGGATTAACCAAGTCTCAGTCTTTAGCGTCTTTTCATTCACTGCATTTATTTCCCTCCATGTCCATTCACTCACCCAGCCAAGCACAGGGCTTCTCAGGCTTTAATGCACACAGATCACCTGGGAATTTTGTTGAAATGCAGATCCCCATTCTGTAGGTTTGGGATGGGTCCTGAAAGTCTGCCTTTCTAACAAGCTCTCACTCAGGTGGTGCCCCTGCTGCTCCTCCACAGACGGCACTTTTAGTAGCCAGATGGCTACTTACTTGACAGTTCTTCATCTAATGGTGAGCCTTGAACTTGGGACAAGGCACAGAAACCAAAAGGGAATGAGCATAGCTAGAATCTATTGAGTTCATTATATGCCAGGCTCTGTGCTGTAAAAATTCTCTGTAGATTATGACCTTCGATCTTCCCAATACTCCTGTGAGGTAGATACTATTAGCGTTCTCATTTTGCAGATGAAAACATCTATGGTCACTAACGGGGCTGGGTTGTCGTCTTTCTAGGAAGGAAGGTGATGCCTCCAGGCCCACACAGTGTTGTGGCAGGAGCGTGTAAGTGCTCCTTATTTTTACGTGGAGGCTCCCGTCTCCCTTGGGCTTCTGGGAAGGTCCTCCTTGTCCTCAAGATGTGGGAGAAAATTCAGAGCTAGAATAGGAACTGACCCCTTGCCCACCTGTCAGACATGCTCCAAATTTCAAAATTGCCTCTCTTTCAAGCTTCTCAACACTTCACAATATTTTGACATGAGTAGGAAAAAAAAAATGAAAGTGCTTTGGAAACAGTTCTGTTCCTTGGATTTTTGCTCTCAGACCATGTGACTGAATTGAAGTTGAGTCATAGGATTCCAGTTTAACATATGCAGTTACTATAGCAATTGAGGTTTCCTTAGTAACAGTTGCAAAAAATAATCTGGCTCCAATTAATAATCCATTTTAAAGCTCTTTCTACTCTACCCCGAACAACCCAGTTTTTTTTGGCCAAGAACCAGATAATTCAGGTGGTGTTGTTTGCACTGATACAGATATCATTTGCGTGCAGTGAACTGGGTTGGAAAGGAAAGAAAAGGGAGCTGGTTGTTTCAGGTATTATAGGAATCTGATCAGAAAAGTCGACTGGCAAGCTAATGTGAATCTGGTTTCCAGAGAATGAGAGCTTAGTGCTAAACCCTGCCCTGGATTCTGAGTGTGCCCTAAAGGGCTTTCCGTGTTTGAGGAAGGCAGAAGGCAGAAGACTGGGCTTGTTAACAAAAAAGATGAGACCTGGGAGGGTGGGGCTATGGGATGTGGGATTCCTCACAAATGGATGCTTGGTGTGTTCTCAATGGTTTGAGAAGGCCTGTAGGCATGTGAAGGAGCCCTGGTGACACAGTGTTTAAGCGCTCTGCTGCTAGCCATAAGGTTGGCAGTTCGAATGCACCAGCCACTCCACGGGAGAAAGATGTGGCAGTCTGCTTCTGTAAAGATTACAGCCTTGGAAACTCTATAGGGCAGTTCTGCTCTGTCCTATAAGGTCGCGATGAGCCGGAATCAACTTGGTGGCAATGGGTTTTGTAGGCATGTGAATTCAACAGTCTTGAATAAAGAGAATGCTGCCTGATTTACCACCAGTAGCAGAGCCTCCAAGCTGCTTTTGCAGTAACGGTGTTAGATATCTGGACCTGCCACACCTTAGCATGCTAACTCCTCTCAGCCATTCAAAACATTTGCCATGTGTTTCCAGTGGGGCCAAATGACAGTCTGTGCCTTTCAAAAGTTCCAGTTGCCTTGGTGCATGGGACTCAATCCTGAATGCCATCTTTCCACACCACGCTCAGCGTGAGCCAGCCAAGGCTGGCAGAAGAGGCCCAGGGTCCCGGCCATAGGGGTCAGCCCAGTGTCTGGAGCAGTTCCTGATCCTGAAGGCTTTCTCTGGCCTTAAGAACAAGAACTTGACTGGCAGGGGGGCTGGAGGTTCACCAGGGCAAACCTGCCTTGCCCCTCCCCTATGGACACCAGCCTGGTGGGTGGGGGAGCCCATGCCTTTTCCCTGTGTAGCCTGCCCCTTGCGAGTGATTTGATCCCCATGCCTGAAAAGCTAAGTGTAAAGAGAGGAGTGGAGATGGAATGATAGTTTTACTATCAGTTCCCTGAAAGGAATTTAGAGTTGTTTCTTTTTTTTCCCCGCTAGCAGGGAGGAGAGTGGGTAGGGGAAAGCAGAGCCAAGTATGATAATGACAGAGTGGGTGAGATCTCAAATTACCTTCATATGATATATTTCACGAGACCTTGGCTTCTTGCCACCTTAAAGGTGAACATAGTCATTAATTAGCAGTTTGGGTGGCACTCCTGAGGTGCCCTTCTCTTCTGTTTCCAGAGCAGGATGGCAAGGGGAAGAGGAAATGATTGCAGTTGGCTCTGTTCTGTCCCATTGCTTGTCATCTTCTCAGCCTCTCTCTTCCCCCAGAACCCCACCCAAGCATCCTCTAGTTATCTGCTACCATATTTCTCCAATGGGGCTTTGGTGGTTCAGTGGTAGAATTCTCACCTTCCATGTCGGAGACCCAGGTTGAATTCCAGGCCAATGCACCTCATGTGAAACCACCACCCATCTGTCAGTGGAGGTTTGTATATTGTTGTGATGCTAAACAGGTTTCATTGGAGGTTCTAGACTAAGACAAAGAAAAAAGGTCTGGTGATCTACTTCTGAAAATCAGCCAATGAAAACCTGAGTCTCAACGGTCTGATCCGTAACCGATCGTGGGGATGGCACTGGACTGGGCAGCATTTTGTTCTGTTGCGCATGGGATCACCATGAGTTGGGAGCCAACTCGGTGGCAGCTGACCACACCGACCACATATTTCTTCAGCACTCTCTCAGTCAGCCACTCATTCTCTCATTCGCTTACTCACCACTTCAACAAACATTGATCGAGTACTTTCTTAGCAGCATGCTAGGCTCAGAGGGTGTGGTGAGAGTACATCCACTAGGCAGTAAGCTCCACTGGGGCTGGAGCTGTGTCTTAGTCTTTTTTTTTTATTTATTTTTTATTGTTTTTTAGGTGAAGGTTTACAGAGCAAATTAGTTTCTCATTAAACAATTAATACACACACTGTTTTGTGACATTGGTTGCCAGCCCCACGACATGTCAACACTCTCCCCCTCTCGACTTTGGATTCCTCATTACCAGCTTTCCTGTCCCCTCCTGCCTTCTTGTCCTTGCCCTTGAGCTGGTGTGTGTCTTATTCTTTATGGTATCCCCTGCACGTAGCATCATGCGGGGCACAGAAGAGGCACTTTGTACATACTGGCGGATAGAATGGAAAAAAGCTTGGTCTCTACCCTTGGGGAGCTCACAGTCCAGGGTGGAAGAGAGAGGTAAGGAAAACAGCCTGGTGAGCAAATGATGAAGGTACATAGAGGATGCTGATGAAATCACAGGGCTGAGTCATCAAGCCCAGTGGGATGGGAGCAAGGTGTGGGAACTAAAGGGTGACTAGAAAGAAGGGTTGGTGAGGGGAGATGGCAGAAGTGGACAGCCAGAGAGGACAGCAATGGTGGGGACCAGAGGTCCAAGGGAGAAACATCATGAGTGGGGGGAGTGGGATAGAGGGGGGAGTCATGGGAAATGAGTGTAGACAGTTGTGCAAGGTCCAGATCCTAGAGGGACTTTGCTGTGAAAAGGAATTGCTTTCTCTATATTCTCTAGGCATTTGGGAGCCATTAAAGCTTTTTAAGCAGGGAAATGATGTGGTCAGGTTTGTGTTTTAGCTGGGTTACCCTGTAGGCCATGTGGTGGCAGAGAGAGCAGGCGGGAAATGGACGGGAAGGTGAGGGCCTAAGCCAGGGGTGGAGCAGGAGACAGAGGAGGGATGCTTGGGGTAAAAATGCCTCTGTGCTGCTCCCCTCACCCTGAGGCATATTTTGGAGGAAGCCCGTCAGTGTTAAGCCCTCTCTGATTGTGCTGGGCAAAACCAGGCTCAGAGCCTGGAGTGGGGCTTGGGAAGGGCCACGTGTCCAGGAGTGTGCAGTCATTCTGCTGAGCTGCCCCCTTTCCTTCACAGTGACAAAGCTGCAGGTGAGCAAGTCCAAGCGGACCCTCACCCTGGTGGAGAACAGGCCCATTCAGCTGAACTGCTCAGTCAAGTCACAGACCAGCCAGAACTCACACTTCGCCGTGCTCTGGTACGTGCACAAGCCCTCGGATGCCGACGGCAAGCTCATCCTTAAAACCACCCACAACTCTGCCTTCGAGTATGGCACCTATGCTGAGGAGGAGGGCCTGCGAGGGCGGCTCCAATTTGAGAGGCATGTGTCTGGGGGCCTGTTCAGCCTCACTGTCCAGAGAGCCGAGGTCAGTGACAGTGGCAGCTACTACTGCCATGTCGAAGAGTGGCTGCTGAGCCCCAACTATGCCTGGTACAAGCTAGCGGAGGAGGTTTCAGGGCGCACAGAAGTCACGGTGAAGCAACCAGGTAAGAACAGAGGGTACAGCCATCATGGGCCAGGGGATATGGAGCAGAGACTGCCAAGGGCCAGGCGGGCTCTGGTGTGCCCACCTGGTGAGACCATCCTCGAGGTCTACACTGGATGTGGGTGCAGAAACATACACCATCATCCTAGTGCACTGCAGGTCTTTCCACTTTACCTAGGCTTGGTCCTGATGCTGATGGTAAACTCAGAAGCATCCTTGACTCTGCTTCTATGTCCAGCATCTTCTCCAAGGAGAAGGCCTGAGAGGGCAGCTGTGGTTAGCAAGATGCAGCAAAACAGGACCAGTGGCAGCTCTTGAGTCTCCTTCTGGGTTTCAAGTTTGCACCCTGGGCCTCAGGCTGGCACCAGCTCAGCTCCACACCCATGATTCCTGTCTAGAAAGTTTCCATGTCTGCTTCTGTCTTCTTCCTGATCTCTTATCCCCAGTAAGGGAAGCCCTTCCTGTCTCCCTAAACTGAATCACCCTTCTGGTACCCTCTGAGAACTCTGTGAGTACAGCCCTTACTCTGCTCCTGACAGATGGCACCCATCCTTTGCCAGAACATTTCCAGGGAAGGGGGAACTTACAACCCCAGAAGGCCTTAGTTCCACTTTTGGGCAGCCCTCATTGTTGATAGTTCCCCCCTGTGATGGTTAAGATTGTGTGTCAACTTGGCTGGGCCATGATTCTCAGTGTTTCGGCAGTCGTATAATGTTGTGATCACTTCCCTGTTGAGAATTGATATGTGATCGCCCCATATGTGATGGGATCTGCTGTGAGTAGCCAGTCAGATGAAAGGGAGTTTTTTTGGGCATGTGACCTGCATCCAGTGTGGGCAGACATTCTCACAAGGCTTGGGAGGTTTTCGCTTGCTCTGGATCCTGCGGCTGACTCCTGTTCATCTGATTTCCAGTTCTTGGGACTTGAGCTAGCAGCTTACCTGTGGTCTTGCCTGCCGATCTTGGGATTCATCAGTCTTTGCAGCCCCTGAGCAAGGGCCCTGTTCTCTGGCCTGCCAATCTTATGTTAGCCAGCCCCTGCAGCTACGTGAATCATAAGAAGTCTCTATGCTGACCCATGGATTTAGGATGTTCTAGCCTCTACAGCCTCGTGAGCCATTTCCTTGATAGAGATCTCTCTCTATATATATTTACATACTTTACTGGTTTTGCTTCATTTCTAGAGAACCCAGCCTAAGACACCCCTTATGTGAAAGAAACTCACTTCCCTGTAATTTCCCTCTCAGATTTTAGATGTACCCCTGGAACAACCCAAGATAAGTTTGGGTCATTTCCTTTCTAATATGTGAAGGGTGCTGTTGTGTGCCTCTCTGTCACCCCTTCTTCTTAAAGAGTCCAGTTCTTTCAGCTTTTCCCCACATAATGCAGCCCTAAGTGTCCTCTCTGTCCCTCACTCCTGCAGGCCCTATGCTTTGTTGTTATCACTGCCTGCTGTTCCCGTTGGCCATGGGGATGCTGTGTGACCATCCACGTCCCATCTCCTTTGCTTACACTGTCCACTCTGCCTGGAATACACCTCTCCTGCTGCTTCTTCCCTACCTGGCTCACCTGTCTTCACCCCTTCCCCATATATACTAGGTGGTGCTCAGCAACACCTCCAGGAAGCTCTTCCTGACTTCCCCTATATCACTAGGGGTCTTTATAAAACACACAGTTTCAGAATTATTTATGTGTGTTCTTTCTCCACCTCACTGTGATGCTATGAGCACTTGGATGACAGGACTATATCTTTGTGTCTCCAGCTGCTGGCATGGTACCCTTGATGGATTATGGTTGAATGAATGGATAAATGGCTGCTTTCCTTTGAATGAGTAACTTATTTTATAAGGATCAGCACAAAGCTGGTTCCTGTGAGGCAGAGGTTAAAGATGTCCCAAATGTCCAACTTTTCCAAACTGCTGTCCCATTCCATCATCTCTAACATCACCTACTCCTCTTCCCCTCAGTACTCTCCCTCCTGTCTTTGGGTTCCATAATTCACTGCAACGTCTCAGAGAACTCATGAACCATAATAAAGAAATGGTTCATGCAGTTGTGGAGGCTGGCAAGTTCCAAATCCATGGGTCAGCATAAGCTTCCCTGATTCATGTGGCCATAGGGGCCAACTAACCCAAATCAGCAGGCCAGATGACAAGGCTGCTGGCTCACGGGCTGCAGAAGCTGGCGAATCCCAGAATCAGCAGGTCAGACTGGCAGGCTACTGGCTCAAATCCCAAGAACCAGAGGTCAGATAGTGACAAACCAGACACAGGATCCAGATGTGGAGAGAGAGAGAGAGAGCCCCCCAGCCACAGTACCCACACATATACACTGGATGCAGACCACACCCCAGGGAAGGGCATGACTTGAATAAGGGTGGGACTTGAGTCATGCCCTCCTGCAAGGCTGTGACTCAGAATACACCCCACACTAATCCTACCTCATTAACATATAGAAGTTAGGATTTACAACACATAAAATGGAGAATAATTAGGATAATTACTCAGATCACAAAACAGAGGACAGCCACACAGTACTCCACACAATACTGGGGATCATGGCCCAGCCAAGCCAGCACACAACTCCAACCATCACAGGTTCCATACACCTTATTTGCATAGTCCCACTCACTCATTGTGTACGAGTCACAAAGACTATGGCTAGAAGGGCCATATTAAGTAATTCATTGCATCACACCTTGAACACTTTAGGGCCTTTGTACTTGACGTTCTCTCACCGTAGAACATGTTGACCAGAGATACTCATTTATTTTGCTTTTCCTTTGAGAGGCGTTCCTTGATCATCTTAACTAAAATAGCCCCTTAGTCACTTTGTAAAGAGCCCTGGTGACGCAGTGGTTAAGAATTCAGCTGCTAACAGAAAGTTAAACCCACCAGTAACTCCGAGGGAGAAGAGACCTGGTGATTTACCCCCTTGAAGATTACAGCCTAGAAAACTCTATGAGGCAGCTCTCCTCTGCTATACAGGGTCACTATGAGTCAGAATCGACTCAATGACATATAACACCAACAGTCACTCCGTATCCCCTTTTCTCATCCACATATCACTGCTTGGCATTCTGTGTATTATTTATTCATTCATTTTTTTGGTTGGTCTCTTCCACTATAATTTAAGCTCCAAGAGTGAGTACAGGGACTTTGTTATCTTCACCACTGTATCCTCACTGGAGCCCTGGTGGTGCAGTGGTTAAGAGCTCAGCTGCTAACCAAAAGGTTAGCAGTTGGAATCCACCAGCTGCTCCTTGGAAACCCTGTGGGGCAGTTCTACTCTGTCCTATAGGGTCACTATGAGTCAGAATTGACTTGATGGCAATGGTTTTGGATTTTTTTTTATTTTTAGGTATCTTCACTGCTTGACTCTCAGGAGGCCTCAATAAATATTTGTTCAGGAATTGGATGAAGCCAGGTGTGGCCTGGCCCGTGCTGAGTGCAATGGGCCTACTCCCCTGCTTTTTCCAGGAACGCCATATTTCTAAACCGCCCCGATACAGGGGTTCTCAGGTGACGTTTGTGCTAACCCTTCTGCTGGTGCACTGAAAGGGAAGCTCTGGTCTCCAGTGATTCCTGTGAGCATTTCCAGTGGCTAGTCCTGACTTCAGGCCAGTCCTTGGAGCTTTTGGCAACTGAAGGTTATCATTAGACCCATAAAAGTTCTTTTTGGTTCCTATTCTTCCTCTCTGTTTTCAGTTCTGATTATTTTCTCTCCTGGGAGAAAACGATGTCCTCCACCCCCTGTTGTTTCTTCTTTAGTCATCTCTTGTCCTTTCCCTTTCTCCATTTGTGCCAAAACAGATTCCTAAAAAACCCAAAAACCAAGCCCGTTGCCATAAAGTTGATTTTGACTCATAGCAACCTCATGTGTTACAGAGTAGAACTGCTTCATAGGGTTTTCTTGGCTGTAATCTTTATGGAAACAGCAGATTGCTAGACCTTTCTTCCATGGCACCGCTGGGTGGCTTTGAACCATCAACCTTTAGGTTAGTAGCCCAGAGCAAACCATTTGCACCACCCAGGGACCTCAGTAGATTCTTAGTGGATCCTAAGTTTATCAAGGAGATTTCCTCATCCATAGACTTACATTAAGCTAATTGGGACAACACAAAAAGACTGTAAAAAAAATCCTTGTCAAAACACATTTAGTGAAATCTCTGTGGTGAATATTAACACTCTCATCGGAAAACTCACAGGGCACTGATTCAAACAACACATTTCTCAGTTTTAGTCGAGAGTTTTGGTTTGTATATTTTTTTGTTTTGGAATTTTTTGGGTTTTTTTTTTTTTTTTTTTTTTCTGCTTTTAGTTCTCCCCAACCCCCCTTTTTTTTTTTCCTAATGAGAAAGCATACCCTTGTATAAGAGTTTTTGGAAAATACAAAACAGCACAGACAGAGAAGAAGATAATAACTTTTTATCCTGGAGATAACCAGAGTTAACATCATCTCTCACCCCTCTTCCTCACTCGCCACTCTCTGATTCTGATTTATAGAGACCCTACAGGACAGAGTAGAACTGCCCCATAGGGTTTCCAAATAGCAGCTGGTGGATTTGAACTGCCAACCTTTTGGTTAGCAGCCTGAGTTCTTAACCACTGTGCAACCAGGGCTCCATATATCTATGTATCTATCTATCTATCTATCTATCTATCTATCTATCTATATATATGCATATATAGACATATATAAAATTTTTTAGGCTCCTATATATGTGTGTGTGTGTATGTGTGTGTGTGTGTGTGTGTATGCATGTATGCATATATATGTATACATATATCTCTCTATATAATATGTATATTATATAGAGAGACATATAATATATTTTGGAGCCCTGGTGGCATGGTGGTTAAGAGCTCAAGCTGCTAACCAAAGGCCAGCAGTTCGAATCCACCAGCCACTCCTTGGAAACTTTATAGGGCAGTTCTGCTTTGTCCTATAGGGTCACTATGAGTCAAAATCGACATGACAGCACACGACAGCAACATAATATATTTGAGGAAAATTGGTTGTTATAAATATATTTTCTGTTATTCTTTATTTTTTGACCTTTTAATTACAAAGATAATCATATGGATTGTAAAACATACTGACAGTATTGAAGTGTAGAAAGTTAAAAGTGAAAGAAAAGTGCCCCTCCCCCTTAAATGTTAGGGCTGTGTCTTTCCTGAGGCTCTTCTGTGCATTTACAGCTTTTCCATCTTTCTGGTCCAGGTAGTCTCATGAGGGGCCTTTTATGAAATTACCAATTTGCCATCATTAATGACACTTTTTAGCTGGAGGAGAATCTGTCTGGCCGAGTTTTCAGACCATCCACTTTCTTCGGTGTCAGTCTTTCTCTAACTTGACATCAGTTTTGTTCCCACCTTGAGAGGGAGCCAGCATGGTTTTTTTTTTTTTTGTTTTTTTTTGTTTTTTTTTAAGGAAAGTAAGAACTGTAACTCTTAGGGCCCACTTCTGAGCATGTTAAACTGGAATTCCTCCGCAGTCCTTTTGTGTTGATAGCCCAGCATATTCTAGCCGTCATCTGGTTAGTTTTAAAAGTTGACTCTTGATCTGAAAGTAGTTCTCCCCATGCCCCCCACCACCTCACGTCCACCCCCACCCCCCATAGCCACCCCCACCAGTCAGCCACACACCTCAGTGTCTGTTGTCATTTGGATGTGCGGTCATACACAGCTCATGCTTGTACTTCTCTAAGCATCTGAACAGAGGAGGCTTGTGAACTGGGGACAGCTGTCGCCGTCACATTTACCTCCTTGAAACCTAAGCATTCCAGACACGTGATCAAGGAACTCACAATGTTTTAGGGTGCTGCATCTGAGAAATATTTCTGCTAATTGAGTCTAGGCTGATGTCCCTGTGTATTTGGAAGGCACCTGTTTATCCACAGCACTGGTTCACCTGTGCTTAGAAAGGGTGTGTGCACATGGCTTATTGTCTTTCTGTCGCTGACATCTCTTTCCTCGCTGTTCCAGACGGCCGCCTGAAGCTCAGCCAAGCCCAGGGGAACCTGTCAGTGCTGGAGACCAAACAGGTGCAGCTAGAGTGCACAGTCCTGAACCGCACCAACATGGCTTCCCAGCTCGTAGTGGAGTGGTTTGTATGGAAACCCAACCACCCAGAGCGGGAGACAGTCGCCCGCCTGAGTCGGGAGGCTACCTTCCAGTATGGAGAGCAGGCAGCCAAGAACAACCTAAAGGGGCGACTACATTTGGAAAGTCCTTCCTCGGGCGTGTACCGGCTCTTCATCCAGAATGTGGCTGTGCAGGACAGTGGGACGTACAGCTGCCGCGTGGAGGAGTGGCTGCCCAGCCCCAGCGGCATGTGGTATAAACGGGCAGAGGACACTTCTGGGCAGACAGCTGTCACAGTAATGCGACCAGGTGAGGGTTACTGTTCCCCAAGCCTCCCCCGTTCAGTATTTCCACTTTAAGTGTAATAGTTTTTGCTCTGGATAAAACGACCTTTTATTAATTTATAGTCCCTAGGTGGTACAGAAGGAGCCCTAGTGGCACAATGGTTAAGTGCTCGGCTGCTAACTGATAGGTTGGTGGTTCCAACCCACCAGCCACTCTGTGGGAGAAAGATGTGGAAGCCTGCTTCTGTAAAGATTTACAGCCTTGAAAACCTTATGGGGCAGTTCCACTCTGTCGTATAGGGTTGCTATGAGTCCAAATTGACTTGATGGCAATGGGTTTTAATGGGTTGGGTGGTACAAACAGTTAATACACTCGGCTGCTAATCAAGAGGTTGGAGGTTCAAGCCCACCCAGAGGCACTGCTGAAGAAAGCCCTGGCAATCTGAAAAATCAGCCATTGAAACCCCTATGGAGCATAGTTCTACTCTAACACACATGAGATCACCATGAGTCGGAATCAACTTGACAACAGCTGGTGATGGTATTAATTAATAAGTTATCTGCAGTTAATTGTATGAGCATTCACATTATGCATTTGTATTCAAAATGGTCTTTTTATTTTCTTGGGAATGGAAAAGTGCACATCTGGCTTTGGCCTAAGGCGACTCTGTTTCTTAACTAGAGTAAAATCTGGCATTGAATTATTCCAGAGCATAGGATATTTCTTTTTAAACAATACATCCCAATTTGGGCATGTGGTGGTTATAACAAAAATCCTGAAACAATAGCCATGTGCTTCAAAAAATTAGGCCTTATTAATTGTGGATTTTCAGGGAGAAAGAACTGATGCACATATTGATGCACATGCTTTAAAATAGAAGAAAAAGAATTATCTGAAGCCTTCACTCTAACATCCTAATAATTTTTATTGGTGCTAATGACTCTTCTGTGTGGCCCTTTGCTTTTCTTTATTTTTGTGTCTAAAATGCCTAAATGTATGTAATTACTACGTCTAATCACTGTTACGCATGTAAATGTAATTAAAAGCCAAGGTGTGCATGCAGGAGTCCCATGTCCTTCACGGAATCACAACATTATTCATCCATAACAGAGCCAGAAGTCAATGTCTCTCGAAGGACACTGAGCATAAATGAATTTGTGACCTACATCAGTACGAACTCTTTTTTTCCTGAGCATCCTGATGTTCAAATTTGTTGTCTTTGGTACCATTAGAATTTTTCATGATGTTTCATGTTTGAGTAGAACAGATCTGTTCGCTGGTGGAGCGCTAGAGCTTTGCAGTTGTGCCACATCAGGGAACACACACCTGTGAGGAGAATACACCCTTTGTTACAGGAAAGGGGCCGTGCTGGTGCGGCTCAGACCACGCACTGTCACCCTTGTGGGTCTCGCCTAAACTGGAGGGGAAATCACCTCTGCTTGAGTTACTCATATTTCCCATGAGCTGAACAAAGACCTCAACACACCCAGGGCCTTTTTTTTTTCTTTTGCATTTGTCCTTTTTTTTCCTTTCTGCCTTGCCTAGAAACTGCTGCTCCCCTCCCCGCCAAAGGTAAAATTATAGAGATATGGGAACCCAGCCTCCTCCTCCCCCAACTCCCACCCCTTTTGCAGATCACCAATCTGAAGACCCCAGGTGGAGTGGAAGGAGACAGACATTTACCGAGTGCCAGCTAGATCCCAGCCACAGATGGGAGCTTCTTGCTCAGTCCTCACAACAGCCTGAATGGTAGATGTTTCTGTCCTCTTTTACTAACGAAGCCTGAAGAATAAATGCCACACAGCTAGTAAGAGCAGGCGGGCATGGTCACCCAAGTTTCCTTCCCACCGCATACTCCCAGCATGGCCCTCAAACCTGTGTGTCCAACTCTGTCAACCCCCCCTTCCTTTCTCCTTCCCTCCCTTCCTTATTTTCTGATTATATAATTTGATCAAGCTAATTATAAAACATTTGGAAAACAGAAAAGTATAGTAAGGAAAAGAAAAATCATCTATAATCTCACATCTACAAATATCCACTATTAATAATTTGGTATCTATTCTTTGGTCTTTACCTTATGTATTCATATTCTCTGTGTTCCTGTGTCCCTCTCTCTAAATGAAGTTAAGATCTCACTTTTATGTGATATTTGTTTCCCACTCAACCTTTTGTGAGCATTTTTCCATGTCATTCAAAGCATTTTCATAACCACCATTTTCACCAGGGAAGGAGCCCTTGTGGTGCAGTGGTTAAGCGGTTGGCTGCTAACCGAAAGATTGGCAGCTTGAACCCACTAGCCGCTCTGCAGGAGAAAGATGTGGCAGTCTGATTCTGTCAGCCTTGGAAACCCTGTGGGGCAGTTCTGCTCTGTCCTGTAGGGTCACTATAAGTAGGATTGACTCGATGGCAGCGGGTTTTTTTTTTTTTTTGGTTGCATAATATTCATTTTTTGGATATACTTCCAAAGATTTTTTTTCCTGAGATAGATGTTGAATATAGGGAAGATTTGAAATAATATAACTCCAAGAGTTGTGTTAAGAAAATAATCACCTGCTGAATAGGGTCAACAATTTACTACGGTATAAAACATGAGATGTAGGGCTCCTTCCCTCAGTGAGGTTGTAACTGAGTAGATTAGTAGCTGTGTTTTGCTGAGACAACTGGGGAAGAGGAACAACCACATTCATCACACCCAGACCTGGAATCGGTGGTCAAGGTAATAACTGTGGGAGCTGTTAGCATAATGTGGAGGAGAGAGGCAGACAAACTCCTTTCTTGTGACTCATGCTTAGGAAAGGAAAGGGTGTTAAAATCTGAACAGGGAGGAGGGCTGTCTATTCTAGAAGGGGACAGACACAGGGACGTAAGTTGGTAGAGAGGTGTATTGAGGGGGTGGGAGGTTCTAGGAGGGTAGAAATTCATTTTATTCAGAAAACTTGGATTGAGTCAGTAATGCAGACAAGGCACTTATAGGGGTTAGGGACAAACTGTAAGCAGGTAGATGAGAAGGCAAAGGGAGAGTAGATGGAGGAGGGGCCCGCCTAGGGGAGCTGCGTGTCTGATGAGGTCTCTGACCATCTTCCTACCTCACTGTGATGGATTCCATCTTGTCACATTACCCATAGCCACCTCCTCTGACGCATTAGCTAGTCACCAAGAGCTTTGGGACACTGGCTTAGACTCTGGAGGACGAATAAAAGCACCCTAGACCACCCCAATCCATCATATAGCTCTCTCATGGCTTTAGGGGTAACATATCAGCCTGCTCTGTGGAGGGATAAGCAATGAGTGGGGGAGTCTGAGTCACCTGTGAACTGATTCAATATTCTCTGTCCTGCGGTTCTCTACCCTCCAGTGTATTCTCTTCCCTGTGAGAGCCGGGTTGATGCTTTGCCCGCTAGCTGCAGGTGGTTACTAAATCGAGATTCCAGTGCATGCTGAGATTCAGATAGGCCATGGGTGATGCGGAAGGGCTTGGCAGAGCCCCCACAAAAGCACTGGGAGCTCCAGCTTTGTGTTCACCTGGGAGCGACATTAAGCCAGTTCACTAGAAACCCAGGACACTGCTTGGGAAATGCTCCTTGTTGGTCTTCATCAAAGTAGACTCTGACTTGATGTCTACTTTTGTTGATGTTACATTGGCATCATTCGGGAAAGTTTTAGGAACAGAGCCAAAGGGAGGCCTTTTAGGAGCGAGGGAGTGAGTTATTTGTGTATAACATACATCAGTGAGCAAAAAAGAGAGAGCAAAAGAGCAAGAGAGAGAGAGACAGTGAGCAAGAAAGAAAGAGATTCCAGCCTGTCTGGTGGTGTGTGTATGTGAGAGGTGACTCACATGGAGGACTACCTTTCAGTGGCTACTCTGTCTCCCTCCTGTGTCATGAGGACACTGTCCAGGGAGGCCCATGCTACATCCTCCTGAGAGGTTCATGCTCTGAGTAAGGGCCCTGTCTGGGTTCATTGCTTGTCATTTGGCTTAGGTCCCTGGAGAGAGAATGTACGTCCTTGGCATTCACTGTGACTTGCACAACCATCTATGCGCACACAGTTATTCATATGCTATCAAAGGGCTTACAGTGAAAATAAGTGTCCCTCCCTCCTCAGATCCCCATAAGCAGCCACATTACCAGCGTCTTGTATGTTCTTCCCCAGATAGTCCACGGAAATATAACAGATATGTATGCATGATTAAAATATGTTTTCTTCCTGCACAGTGATAGCATGGAGTACATACTGTTCCATACCTTAACAGATTTTCTTGAGTCTCCTTCCACGTCTCTGCACGTAGTGCAGCCTCATTTTTTTCCACGTTGTTGCTGTTGTTCGCTGTCATTGAATCGGCCCCCACCTCATGGCCATATGCACAAGGGAACAAAACGCTTCCCTGTCCTACGTCATCCCCATGATCAATTGTAGATCAGACCATTTCCATAGGGTTTTCCTTGGCTGATTTTCAGAAGTAGCTCACCAGGGCTTCTTAGTCTGGAAGCTGTGCTGAAACCTGTTCAGCATCATAGCAACACGCTAGCCTCCACTGACAGACAGGCGGTGGCTGTGCATGAGGTGCACTGGCTGGAAATCAAAGCCGGGTCTCCCGCGTGGAAGGTGAGAAGTCTACTGCTGAATCACTACTGAGCCATACTCTTTTCCACAGATGCATAGCATTCCACTGTATGGATATTATTACATGTATTTAGTCATGGACATTTAGGTTGTCTTGAGAAAAGAAATTAAGCAGCCACTTCACCCTTCTGTGTCCCTGGTTCTCCCCCAGATGCTGCCCTGCAGGTGGATACAGTGGTCCCCAACGCCACGGTGGCAGAGAAAGCAGCCTTCCAGCTGGACTGCAGCATTGTGTCTCGCTCAAGCCAGGATTCCCGCTTTGCTGTGGCCTGGTATTCCCTGAGGACTAAAGCTGGAGGGCAAAGGGGCAGCCCTGGCCTGGGAGAAGAAGAAGAAGAAGGGGAGGAGGAAGAGGAGACCCCAGCAGAGCGGACGGCCCTGCTGAGCGTGGGCCCAGATGCTGTCTTTGGCCCAGAGGGCAGCCCCTGGGAGGGCAGGCTTCGCTTCCAGAGGCTCTCCCCACTGCTCTACCGGCTCACGGTGCTGCAAGCAAGCCCCCGTGACACGGGTAACTACTCCTGCCGCGTGGAGGAGTGGCTGCCCAGCCCGCAGAAAGAGTGGTACCGGCTGACAGAGGAGGAGTCAGCCCCCATCGGCATCCGTGTCCTGGACACAAGTGAGTTTTTCCCCTTTATGGAGAAAAGATGTCACTGTTGATTCCAAGTATGTCTGGGAAATAAATTCAGAGCTTGACTCTGGGTTCATAAGCAGTTTTCTTAACTATCGTGGGCATTTGTTAGTAGGATTTGGACTGTGGTTGGATTTGACATACCAGTGGCCAGTTCATGTAATTGACCCTTGATTAGCCATGCAAAAAATAGGGATAGGAATGAAAATTATAATATACCATGTAATCTTTATAATAAACTTGACGTTCTTCCAGATTCTACTTTGGTAAGACTTCATTATACAAGCATAGTGTTAGATGGTACTTTGTTACTCTTTAGGATGTGGAACCTAATTTCTCTTTAGTAAATTAACAAGTGTTTCAAACTCATAAAAAGGAAGGAAAGAAATGAAACCGTAGTACCCCACTGTCACTCTCTCAAACTCTGGGGTCATTTTGCCCCATGTTTTGTTTTGGAGTGTGACTCGGGGGTTTCAGTGGGTTTTGCATGGTCAGTTGGGAAGACCATCCTAAACTCCATTGCCATCAAGTCAATTCCGACTCATAGCAACCCTATAGGACAGAGTAGAACTGCCCCACAGGGTTTCCAAGGAGTGGCTGGTGGATTTGAACTGCTGATCTTTTGGTTAGCAGCCGAGTTCTTACCCACTGTGCCATCAGGGCTCCAAGACCATCCTAGTAACGTTACAAAAGAGCTGCAAAGAGCGTAGCTGCAGTCCAGCTCGCCATCCAGTGCTGCTACAGAATGACTCAGAACTCAAGAGTTTTCATCATACTGAGGGACTTTAATGGTGAACAGAGATTGGAGGAAGTATTTGCTGTCCTGAATTATCTCTTCTAACAAGGCACACTTTTGGTTGGCCTTCTGTCAGAATGTGGAATATATCAGACTAAAAATGGTGCTTATTATAGTTAAATTAGCCCATCATGTAGAGATAATTTTTTTGCTAGAACTTTCAGCTTCTTTTAGGTTCAGACGCTCAAACGTTTTACCCAATAATCTTGGTTCGAGTTTTGTCAACACTTCTTTTCCTTGATCTCCTCCTGTTTACACTGTATTAGATAGAACTAGATGAAGTTGAGTTTTGTAGGTCAGATGTGGTTGTCTCTGAGCAATCTCACATACATCAGAAACCTAGTAAGTGTAAGTGGCTGTTAAGTTTTCTTAAAACTACTGATGAACAATAGCTATATAGTAAGAAGGAAGGCAGGTAAAAGCTAAACCATACGCACAGACAACTAACAATCTACTGAATAACCTACTGTAAAAAAGTTAAAAGGAAGGTGTTTAGGCCACATTGCCCATTGTGGCCGTCTATATTTATTAAGCTTTAAATAGAGCATAGAGACCATCATCAGCCTTACTTTACAGAGAAAAACGTAGGTTCCCCTAGGCTGGGCATCTGCTGAAGTCTAGTAAGTCATAACACATCCTTGACCTGGGTCTTTAGATGCCTGGTTTCTTTCTCCTCCATGTCTAGGTATAACTAACACCATGTTCTGTGCAGCCACAGGCACACTGTGGATATATGAAAATGGTCAATAGTGACATTTTAATTGATAACATTAATCAAGAAACTATCATTTCTGGTAAGATGGCTCTTAGAAGCTGGGGAAGATGGTACATGTAATTTTCTCAGAGAAGGACGTTTGTAGCAGAGCTGAGTACAAAGGGACACAAAACCTAACTGTGCAGGAGGTTCAGACTGAACTGGAGTCAGCTTCTTTATCATCATAGATGCAGTTGAGTTCACAATCAATAAACTACGTTTTATTATGTGGCTTTCCAAGCAGTAATAATGGATCACAATGGAAAATGGAAGCATTGCTTTGTTTGAGCTTCCAACTGTGTTTGAACTGGAAGAGGGGATGTTGTGGTGAGAATAAGAAGTGTAACCTCCCCACCATAGTGGTAGTAGGAAAGGCAGGGCGGGTGCAGGAGCTCTGAAGGTGGCCTCCGTTGGGCTGGGCAAGGTCTTCAGGAACAAAGGTCGACCATCCAGTTTCTCAGCCCTCATTGTCTTATCTCTCTCATGGTCCTTTTCAGGTTCCACCCTCCAGTCCATAATCTGCTCCAATGACGCGCTCTTCTACTTCATCTTCTTCTACCCCTTCCCCATCTTTGGCATCCTTATCATCACCATCCTGCTGGTACGCTTCAAGAGCCGGAACTCCAGCAAGAACTCCGACGGGAAGAATGGGGTACCCCTGCTGTGGATCAAAGAACCACATCTCAACTACTCCCCCACCTGCCTGGAGCCCCCTGTGCTCAGTATCCACCCAGGAGCCATAGACTAAGTAGGAAGCCGCAACGGACGTTGGCCATGGAGGAGCTGGGGCTCTCCCTCGCTGCCTCTTTCTCTTGATTGGAGAGTTGGCAGCACCCAAACTCTGGAGTGCCCTTGCAGAAGATGGTCAGACTGGAGAAGTTTCTCAAGTTCCCGATCAGTTACAGAGACAGGCTGCCTTCAGCTGGCAGTCTTGGTTGGTTAGCTATTTGCGCGCAAATACCGTGGTGTTGCCGTTATAGGTTTCTTGTTTTTTGTTTCTTGTAATGTAGTGAGTAGCTCCAGGTGCCACGTCTACTCATGGATTTATATAGTATTCTCAGCTAGATGTTACAGGGGTTCTTATTCTTTGTAATGTACTCTTTTTAAAGCCCTTTGGTTTACCCCTTTTGGATTTTGTAATGCTATGGACAATCTCTTACATACAACCGATTGCAAAAGGAAGGATGAACTTTATAGCGACAAAGAATCACTTCCAAGACATTTTGTTTTTGCACTCTTGAAAATGCCACCGATGGATCAAAACACACCCAAACATTTTTTACTTTTCGTAACGAGACTTGAATATTGTGTGTAGCGTGGGCCCAATTTGTATTTTATCTTTTCTCTCAGCCGGAGTTGTTGGAACCACTTTGTAGTCAAGATGAAAGCATTGAATTTTGCTTCAAAGATCTGTGTGTGTGCAAGCGCAATCCTGCATAACCCCATTAGGAGTAGATAGTGCTGGCCAGCCTGTCTGTCCAGGAGGCAAAGAAGGCTTCATCCCAACCTTGCCAAAAAATAAGAAAACTTTCTCAGAGAATAGGTCAAAAGCACCAAACAGCACACAGTTTATAAGCTAAAGTGGGCCGAGGGCTGATTTTAGCAGCTACTGACTTTCAGATTGATCAAAGCAAGTGATTAGAGAAGAAAGCTGGTGTTGGTTTGCTTGGTTCTGCAAGGGCAGTTGCTCACTGATAACTGTGGGCACGTGGGCTTTGTCTTCAGGTGCTTTGCCAAACTCTTAAGTGCGCAGTGAGCCAGAGGTGGGACAGTACTGAGCTGAGCGCATGGGACTGAAGCAGCCACATACACACCCAGAGGAGGGCACTGGGGTGGCCGCAGTTCAGCCTGCAGAAAAGTGTGATGGTGAGGCATGGGAGGGGGATTTCCAGGGCCTGGCATTGGAGAGTGGGGAGAAGTAACTACCTCCCTGGACGAATGAAGACTGGATTTTGCTTCCTCCTTCCAATTAGATTTTCCTCAAAAACATTAACATCTTCCTTATTCATCATTTGTCTCTTGCCATGTCTCACTGCCATAAAAATATCGGACTAGGGGAGGTCTAGACTCAGTCCCTTGGTAATCCTTTCGCCTTACAGCCTCTCCACAGAAAGTGATCATGTGGCATTGTCTGTGGAGTTTTTTCTTTCCCTTTCTTGGATCTTGTGTGTGGTTTTAGGTTACTTGGTTGTTCATTGTTATGGTGGCTTTTTAATTTTAGTGTCCCTTAAACCCAACAGGGCCAGTACCACCCCCGTTATTTTACACTACTGGACAAGGTGCTTGGCTACTTGGGAGCAGTGTCAGCTGTTCACCCCATGGCGACGTTTTATGCTCTTGTTTTCCCACATTTTGCTGGCTAATAGTGCACTCTCCCTTCCTTTGTGAATTTGCATGAATCCCAAGAGGGCTCCCAATTTTGAAAAAGCCACCATGGATTCTGTAACTGAACAGACTCCAGGGTAAGCTGTGGGACTCCCCCAGCCATGTGGGTCCTGATCCTTATCGTTGTTGGGTGCTGTTGAGTCGATTCTGACTCTTAGCAACCCAACGTGACAGAGTAGAACTGCCCCGTAGAGTTTTCTAGGCTGTGATCTTTATGAGAACAGATCACCAGGTCTTTCTCCTGTGGAGCTGCTGGGTGAGTTCGAACTGCTGGCCTTTCAGTTAGCAGCCCAGCGTTAACCGTTTGTGCCACCGGGATTCCTCTGATCCTTATTAGGGGTCTGAATGTGTGCAGGTGCTTGGGGTGCTCACTGCATGCTTGACTGAGACACAGCTGACGGGACACCAGGTGATTGCTCAGCCACCATTTTCTGACAGGCTTATGTAGCCCTGCCTCTTTTTCTTCCAGATACTCCAGTACTATGCTGTGAAACAAGGAGTGGGCACCGCCACCTTAATCCTGCTGGTACCTAACACGCTCATTCTCATTTATTATGCTGCATCAACATGTTCAAGGTGCCGAATTGGCTCAGTCATGAGGGAAGTGAGCAGTCTTTGCCCCGTTTTTTCATTTCAGGGGTGTGGGCTTCCAGTGAGGAAGAGCTGACTCCTCATTTTCAGACTGAATCAGGGAGAGAAGATGACGTACTTTTCCTTTGTCTGAATGGAAAGATGCCAGAGGGCTGGATGGGGCTGGGAAGTGTAATTAAGATTTGCATTGTATTGGTTTACGGTTGTAGAAAAGGAGTTGCTGCACATAATTAAATACGTGAAGCAGCTGCAGGAAATTTGAAAGGAAAAAAGCAACCGAAGCCAGTATTTTAATAATTGCTGTTTTCTGTGTATTTTCTATTGGACTGGGGATACCGCATCAAAGGTTGAGCTTTTTCAGCTTTCTGTGAAAAGCCCCTGGACCTTCTTTCTTTGGCCATCTGAGTGGAAATGGAATGTGTCGGATGCATAGTGATTGTGCCCTCCAGTGGCTGTGTGACCTCATTGCAGTTGCCTACTGGAGCTTTAGCCCTCTAGAGCCAGGAGAGGAAAACTGCTGAGCACCCTCTTGGCTTATCTATGTCTACGATGTTGCATTTATACAAACTACACTGTGCTAGGCCCATTCCAGGACATAGATTTTACTACACCCTCTTTCACCAGGGTGTGTCTGTAAAAAGTTTTCATACTCTTTTCAAGCAATGGTTTCTCTGCGTTAATGGTTGAAGAAAAAAAGGAGATGGGAGAAGAAAGTTAAACCACGCATGATGTAGAGAGCTGTTGATTTGTTTTTGTGTTTTTTTTTTAAAAAGGAAAACTATTTGTAAGATGTTGCACTAAAATGTTTTACATACACTTCAGAGACCTGTAGTAAATTATGTTGAAAATACGGCTGTTTACATTTACTGGAGTCTGCTGTCCTTCTTTCCCCTCATTTAATAATCAGTGCTGTCCTCTTAGGAGCTGTGCCCTGGAGCCTTGAGTCCTGTCCTTGGCATGGGCCTGGTAGGCTTAAGGTTCATGAATCACAGCCTTTATTATCACGCTCAATACATCCCCAGCCTAAATGGTGCCTTTGTACAAATTATAAAAAACACTCTGTCCTCATGACACTGTACTGCCATCTGCTGAAAATGTCTCACACTAAATATGCACAGCTGCCCTGATGGAACGTACCAAGGATCATGGTGCAGGACCAGGCACCATTCCATTCTGTTATACATAAGGTTGCCATGAGTTGGACCTGACTCGAAGGCAACCAAGACCAACCACCCAGACTGTGAAGGGCCTTGCTGTCCCTTTGCTGTGCGTGTCAGTTGCCGTCAGGTCAATTCCGACTCATGCCAACCCCATGTGTGCAGAGTGAAGCTGCTCTGTGACCTTTCAGAGGTAGATCACCAGGCCTGTCTTCTCTTCAGGGTGCCTCTGGGAAGGTTCAAACTGCCACTGTTTTGGCTAGTAATGGAACACTTAACTGTTTACACCACTCAGGGACCCCTATTCTTCCCCTGGAATCATGCAACGCACAATACACCTGGAGGCCTGATGGGCAGGTTCAAAATGTAGACCTCACCAGTTGTTTTTTGTTTGTTGATTTGTTTTTCCGGGGGATGGGGATGGGATGGGAGGGGGCTGGTGAAGGAGAGCAGGAACATGGGACAACCTTCTTGGCCACCAAAGGCCTCTGCAACAAGACCGCACCATTTTTTTTAAAACTCTGTAAGGTTGCCCTGACTCTGGTATATTCAGCAAGCATTGTCCAGCGCGGAGGTCAGAGCAGGAGCTGTGTATTCCTCTCCCGTGAGACTGCATAGCACACCAGTCCCTGGTCCCTCCGCACCTCAAATGCTGGGACGTTTAGAAGGCGTTCATCACATCTGCACATTGAGAAGAATGACAGAACATTTAAAGTCACAGCAGTGCTACATGATTAGTCAGAAGCCATCCATAATTCTGTAAAATTCACAGAAGAACATGCAAAAGTGGGGAAAAAAGCAGAAGGAGGTGTTCCTTTTTTTTCTTTTCTTCTTGTTTAAATCCAGGTCTTTCAAAAGCTTAAATGTGTGCATTCCTCTGCTCCTGACCCTGTTTGCTGCATCCTTATCAACTTCTTGCAGCTGCTGGCTTGGCCAGGAGTTGAAAATGTGATATTTATCCCTCTAGTACCCAGAATGGTTCCATGTTAAGTCTTATGCATTATTTTTGCCTAATTTTTTCCCAAGTGCTCTCTTTCTGCCAGGGAACATTTTGAAAAGGGAAATAGAATATTATGGAGTGAGATTACCCCTCTATGCCCTTGTGCAAATCTGCGTATTTTTTATATAAATGAAGTGAATGTACAGATGAGGCAAGGACAATTTTCATTTATACAGGATTAAAAGCAGTGTTTTTGCTTACTGTGTTCTGGAATTCCTAAGTTTCCTGGGGATGGTTCCAAGAGTTTGACAGAAACTAGAGCTTGAGTACCAGAGAGTGGCATGCTAGGAAGAGCAGCAGACCCCAGCCATGTGAGCAGACTTGGCCCTTTTTTCTTAACCTTCCAGTCCATCACAGCAGTCCTAAAAGGTGATGAAAATGGCTATCACACTTGGTGCTAACTGAAAGGTTGGAGTTCGAGTCCTCTCAGAGGTGCCTCAGAAGAAAGTCCTGGTGATCTACTTCCAAAAAATCAGCCACTGAAAACCCTGTAAAGGACAGTTCTATTCTGACACACATGGGGTTGCCATGAATCAGAGTTGACTTGACGACAACTGGTTGTTGTTGTTAGGTGCCATCAAGATGGTTCTGACTCATAGCGACCCTATGTACAAAAGAACGACACACTGTCCGGTCTTGCACCATCTTTATGATTGGTGGTGTGCTTAAGCCCATTGTTGTAGCTGCTGTGTCAGTCCGTCTCATTGAGGGTCTTCCTCTTTTCGCTGACCCTCCACCAAACATGATGTCCCACGCCAGGGCCTGATCCCTCTTGGTAACATGTCCAAAGTATGTGAGACGAAGTTTTGCCATCCTCACTTCTAAGGATCATTCTGGCTGTACTTCTTCCAAGACAGATTTGTTCGTTCTTCTGACAGTCAATGGTATATTCGATATTTTTTGCCAACACCATAATTCAAAGGCATCAATTCTTTGGTCTTATTCATTGTCCAGCTTTCGCATGCATGTGAGGCGATTGAAGCCACCATCGCTTTGGTCAGGCACATCTTAGTCCTCAAAGTGACATCTTTGCTTTTTAACACGTTGAAGAGGTGTTTTGCGGCAGATTTGCCCAATGCAATACGTCATTTGATTTCTTGACTGCTGCTTCCATGGGCATTGATTGTGGATCCATGTAAAATGAAATCCTTGACTTCAATATTGTCTCTGTTTATCATGATGTTGTCTATTGGTCCAGTTGTGAAGATTTTTGTTTTCTTTATGTTGAGGTGTAATCCATACTGAAGGTTGTAGTCTTTGATCTTCATCAGTAAATGCTTCAAGTCCTCTTCACTTTCAGCAAGCAGGGTTGTGTCATCTGCATAATGCAGGTTGTTAATGAGTCTTCCTCCAACCCTGATGCTGTGATCTTCTTCATATAGTCCAGCTTCTCAGATTATTTGCTCAGCATACAGATTGAATAAGTATGGTGAAAGGATATAACCCTGACACACATCTTTCCTGATTTTAAACCATGTAGCATCCCCTTGTTCTGTTCAAACAAATGCCTCTTGGTCTATGTACAGGTTCTGCATGAGCACAATTACATGTTCTGGAATTCCCATTTTTTGCAATGTTATCTATAATTTATTATGATCCTCACAGTCGAATGCTTTTGCATAGTCAGTAAAATAGGATGATGAATCCAAGATCAGCAGGTAAGACAGCAAGCTGCTGGCTTACAGGCTTCAGAGGCTGATGAATCCCAAGATCAGCGGGCAATACGGCAGGCAGCTGGCTCAAGTGCCAAGCACTGGAGGTCAGATGATGATGAGCCAGATGCAGGATCCAGAGCAAGCAAGCGAGCTTTGCCAGTATGTCCATATATATATTGCATGCAGGCCACACCCCCAGTGAAACTCTCCTTATAACTGATTGACTGATCACATCTGATCACATCATAGAGGATGATGACATCATTACATAACTGCCAAACCACCGAGAATCATGGCCTAGCCAAGCTGACACACAACCTCAACCATCACAGTCCACCCCTTGTCTACTTGGCAACTGTACACGCCTTCTTAAACCATACACAATCTATAAAAGACAATTACAAAGTCATACTTGTGCATAATATGATAACAACTAACACACATACAACCGAAAATGCACTAGCCCTGTTCGCATCTTATATTTTATAAGCAATGGGATAAAGGAAGAAAACAAAAACAATTGCTATATATATATATGTATATATATATATGCACATTTACAAGTATAATAAAATGCTCATAACAATTACAGTCCTCGTTTCTGCAACTGATCATGTGGTCATAAGTGGTAGTTAGAACTACCTTCTTTCACCACTCATTCCTTTTACCCTCAGCAAGCACTGAGCTGGTCATGGTTCTTTGCCTGATGGGGTGACCCAAACCTTCATTCCTGAAGGGTCTGGGCCATTGGTAGTAATGTCGGAATTGGGTTGCTATAG